CCCGGTCACATGAGCACTTACCTAAAAAAGAGAAATGGAACGCGTTCAAAATCGGAAGGCAGGTTGCAGTTTGATATTATTGTGCTACTGCTACCTTACAAACAGTTGGACTGCTTTTGACGCGGAGAGATTGAAAAAAGTCCGAGTTTCGTTTACTGCTCTGGAAAAAAGTTTGCCCCCCCCCCCCCGCGGCTCTTGGAAGTTTCGTGGTTTTGTTTACGGCCCTTAGGCCGGGTCTGCCTGGCCACACCTGCTATAGACCTTTTCCACAAGGGCGCCGCCATCTTGAATTGTCGTCACTTCCAGTATAGGCGAAAACATTGTTTTGCCGTCGCCACGCCAACAGAAGAGATTAGGATATAAGCCTAACCGTCACACATTCTCGTTTTGGCTCCCCTCTATTTTTTTACTATTTGCAGGTTGAAACGTTTAATTATTTTGTCGTCGCCCATACTGGAAGTGACGACAATTCAAGATGGCGGTGCCCCTGTGAAAAATGTCTATAGATCATTCCATTTAGCGCTCTCTGGGCGGCACCATTTTGTTCGACCGCAGCGCTCTCTCCACACATCCGGGAAGTTCAGCGGGTTCAGCGGGTAAAACAAAAGAGAGGCCACGCGCCCGACTCCGCTAGCAGACGACAAGCCGAGAGGTTGCCGTTCTCCATCGTTGGGCTGTATCGGCGGCAGTACGGAACATCGAACTCTCACTCGTGGCTGCCGTTGTGAAGTGGTTCGCGTTCTTAGAATAGTTCTGGTTACTCCAAAATCAGCCTATTGCTCTCTGTTTTTCTATTTCGCTAAATGATCAACTAGCATATCTTTTTTCCGTTACTTAAATAGCAGTTGAGTCAGCCGGCAGTACTACCCTCAACTACTGCGTGTATTGCGGCAGGAGAGCACGTTTTATTTATTATTTCAGACTTCCACTCATGGTCTTTAAATGCCTACATCAGTACAAACTTTGTATAGTAAAAAAGGTACAGCAACCGGGTTTACTTTTCGCCAAAGAGACCGGCCAATCTGACACAGTTTTCCCTGTTTTTTTATTTTTTATTTGCATGCAGGTAAAAGCGCAATAGGACCCTGTGAGTCTTTTTATCTAGCACAGTATTACACGACAACTGGCATACCAAAATCTGCGCATCTGCGCTTGAAGGTTCCAAAATGACGCGATTTTAAACAGCGTTTGCACGCCAGCCGGACGCTAGCTACAGCCCACTCGGCGGAGCAGACGATATACGGGGTGAGAGGGGGAGTGTATTTTTTTCTCTTTTGCCCTCTCTGCTATAACCCTAATGGAACGGTCTATACAGGAACTCTAGGCAGGTGCTACCGTGAACAAGCTATGAAAAAGACTTTGACCTTGTAGAATATAGTGGTGATTACGCTGCCTTCATCTGCGCTTCGCATAGAGTGATGCCAACTGCCTGTTTCCCTTTCCCACACCCTCTTCCACCGTCATTATGTTCCTGTCATTATTTCCCCGTGCGCCGGAAAGTGACCTTTGTGTCCATGGGTCCTCCCATCCGAGGGGGAAAATGCTAATCCTCCCTCTGTGGGTTCCACAACGCTGCTCCGAACTTGTGAGATTAGGGGCTTGTTTCCGGGAGTGCTATAAGCCCCACGGATTATCGCCGAGAACCAAAATGGCTGCTGGTTTGTCGGCGAGTGGTATTACAAAGGGTGGCATCACCCTAGGAAAGCGCACATGAAGGCTCCCTAGTGGTGATAACTCCACTGCTCGCTCCCAATACACCGTTCCAAGTAGGTCGATGCAGAAAGGAAAAAAAAAAAAAAAACACTCTCGAACCAGAGCGCTGTGCCAACACTCCGCTTACCCTTTCCCTCAAAAGCTCGTTTGCTTCACGAAGTGAGCTGTTACCAGAGGGTGGAGAAAGCACGTGCGCAGTGTACGGAAGCAAGTTGTTTCGACAATGTTAGGCGCCGCTTTGAAAATGTAGCGTGTTTTCGCGCAGGACATGGCCTATGCAAGAAAAGTATCGACCGAGCAGTACTGTGCTGCAATTAGTTGTATAAATTACAAAAAAAAAAAAAAAAACGTAAAATGAACGCCGATTCAGTGTGCGAGACCCACGCTATGATGTACACCATACCCACGCTGTTAAACAGGATGAATGTGGGTGCGGCATGTTTATGCTGCGTTCCCCGCTGCTCTAGACTTACAACGCCGGTGGCTGGCAAATTTTATCAAAAAAGACTTCTTGCCATCGAAGAGCAGTCGTGTGTGCTCCGACCATTTCTTGGACGGCCGGGGAACTGCGGAGAACCGCGTGCCGTTCCTTCGCCTGGGGTACGACCAAAAGGTAAGCGGAGGGCGGCTTAGACATTGAAAAAAGAAAACAGTTGCGTGACTCCTCGTGCACTGATTTGATAATTCTATTTTTCTTCAGTAGGTAATTGACAGGCGACGCTTGGTGCCGAACGAAACTGCGAGGATGTTCCTTGCAGTTTCAAAAATGAGATGAGAATTGCCCATGAAGCAAACAGTAAATGCCAAACTTAAAAAAAAGTTGGTATGGTCAAGGGTGCCGGGAATGTTTGGAAATAGAAGGAAGACGGGAAAGGGGGGGGGGGGGGGCGTTTTGTTCTGACGCCATTGTGCACAGCAAGACTGGGCACAGAGCTCAGACTTTGGCTTTGCTTTGTGGTAGACTCTCCAACACGAATATATAGATATATATGTGTGTGAGTGTGTGTGTGTAACACAGCCGCATGTAGCACATGCCGCGAAACAAAGTTGCACACAAATAATCCTCACGCGAGGCGATTACAGAGAGGCACGTCAATGTGCCAATATTGTGAGAGTGAATTCCAAATCAGAAAAAAAAACAGGGATCCGTCGCACTTGCTATCTGTACTCGGTATTTATATATGGATTCATCTATAAATTTAAAGTTTCTACTATTTCAACTAAAGCAGACGTGGCAGCTCAGGTCTGAGCCGCTAACCGCGCAGTTATTTGAATTGTCCCCAGCGCCTTCAAGCTGCGGCAACTTGAGTTCAGCGCGAATTCCCATGCCGTAATTCGTGCCATCCTTGCTTCGTTCAATCCTCAATTTCACTTCAGATCCCCAATTTCGCTAGCGATTGAAACGCCGAGTTCGGTTTTGGAGCGACGACTGCCCCCAGAACCGCGCTAAAAATTACCCGCATATAGATGCCAGGAAGGATACACTTTTCCCCATGCCTGACATAGCGATTAGGATAGTGCTTTCCCCATGAACGAAGGCGATGAGCCGAGGGTGCCGAATACTGCAGCAGTGCCGGCAGATGCAGCTGCGATCGGTGTTTCTCGGCGAGCAGGGTAACACTTTAGTAATGGCGGTCGGACATTCGGATGGGTTCAGATTCTCCCAAATGCCCGGATGAGGGTGGACGGCGCTACAATGGTTAAAATGTTGCCGCCCAGGAAGCCCAACTTGGAACGGTGTATACTGCAAAAAGTTTACGCAGCCGAGAGGTATTTTTCCTCCGACCTTCGGAAGCACCTCGAGGCGAGTTTCGACTTTCATTTCTGAACACAACCGTTGGACGGAACGATGGAATGCCGACACCTCGACAGTGCTCTCCAGACTCAACGAATTTCCCACCTTTATGAAAGTTTGTGTGTGTGTTTTTACAGCCTGAAGTTACTCTTCCACAACAAGCGACCTGTCTCTCAGATGTAACTGAGAAATTCGGCCAGTGCAGTACAACCGATAGCATGGAGTTTTAACGTGCACCACTGTGGGATTTTGCAATTAACCCCATTATCCTCATTGAGGTAAATACCCACTTCGTAGTCCACTCTTTCTGAGGCTACGGCAAGGTCCGTCTATTGACTGCTTTTTGCACCGCTGGACGAGAAACAACACAAACACAGTCAGTCCGTTTTCGACGTGTTTATTGACTCAAATGCCAACACGCTTCACTCCTAGACAAGAAAAGTCTGGGCGCTGGCTCAATTGCCAGTATCACCCGGTCGGTTTCCCGTACTGCGGCTTTAGACAGATTCACGGGAAGTCAGAGGCCCACAAAAAAAAACCGAGCTCCGTAGAGCCAGGGCCTCCGCCGACGAGAGCCGCTGGCCCTAAAAAAAAAAAAAATTGGTTTGCTCTTTATGTTTATACAGCCTTGATGGAGATACGCCACGACGGGTAATCGGTCTCTTAGCTGTAGATGAGAAATTTAGCCAGTGCAGTACAACCGCTAACCTGGGATTTTTAACGTCCATCACGCAGTAGTGATAACACGAACGCGTGCCGGAACGAAACTCATCCAGATCGAAACGGGCGGGCCTGGTGGGGATCGAGCCCAGGAGCTTCCCATCGCAAGCTTTCGCTCCACGCTCCGAGGTGAGACGCGTTAGCCCACTCGGCCACGTCCCCCCAGCCGCTGGCCCTTAAAAAAAAAAATTGGTTTGCTCATTATGTTTATACAGCCTTGATGGAGATGCGCCTCAACGGGTAATCGGTCTCTTAGCTGTAGATGAGAAATTTAGCCGGTGCAGTACAACCGCTAACCTGGGGTTTTTAATGTGCATCACACAGGAACGCGTGCCGGTACGAAACTCATTCAGATCGAAACGGGCGGGGGCGGCGGGGATCGAACCCAGGAGGTTCCCAGCGCAAGCTTTCGCTCCACGCTCCAAGCTGAGACGCGTTAGCCCGCTCGCCCACTCGGCCACTCGGCCACTTCCTCCCCTCAGCCGCTGGCCTTCCTTCGGGGCCAGCTTATGTAGCCTAGGAGATATGGACCCGCCCGGGGAGGCCGCCAGCAGTAAGACCTTTTCATTTACGAGCGATTCGGAGGAGGAATAATGGCAGGTCACGTGACCCGACGTCACCGGAAGTGACGTCACAAATATAACGTCACGTGACAAAAAAATTTTGTTTTGCTTGTTTTTGTTTGTTTTGTTTTCTGTGACGTCACGGTATTTAGCGAGGAAACTTTTTGTTATTTTTACTTTGTTGACGTATTATTTATTTTTTTTTGTTTGTTTATTTTCTTGCTTTTTGCAACCGGGTGACCGCGTTTTCTGCGCTACAGACTGCGTTTTTCTGACTCCTTTGTTTGATATCGTGTCGTATCGTCGTATTTATGTAGTTATTAGGAACGGCAAGCCTACGTTGTTGCGTCCTTTACCTGAATATCGTGACCGAATCGAGTGTCGTCGATTTGAATCGTGTCTTGCGAACCATCGTCGAACAAAAGGTGAGTGATTTACGTTTTCCTGTGATGTGATTTCGATGTGTTCGGTCCACGCGTCCGAGCTGCTTCTTCGTTTCAAATACATTTGGCGCCGCTGCCTATTGTTTGAGCCTGTGCTCACGATTAAAACACGCATCGCAGAAAGCTGAAAGCCCGCCAAAAGAGCTCTAAAAACCGCATACTTCCGACCCCAGACCTGCCGGCAGACTTCCGAGATAAGCCTGATTAAATAAAAACGTTTGATCCGACGGAATAATGTGTTTAATATTACATCCCATGTCAACAAGGAACTGCGCTGTCTGTCTTCGCCCCTACAGGTTTTATTCTTCCGGGTTTTTCAAATCTTTACCAACCCGCGTCCGATCGTAATACCCCGATCACAACAAATAGTTGGTCGTGCTCCGATGGCTCCTAACATCAGCCGGCAAGGAAGTTACGTTTTTCGCTTCTATATTTTGACCCAAGTAACCCCATATTCTCAAACTATGTCATTCTATCACCACCTCCAGTTGCACATTCTGGCGCACTTGCAGCTTCGTGCACCCTTGCGAGGTTTCCTGCTATCGTACCCTGGATATCATGGATTTCTCGCCGTACGCGAGTGCTCACGGAGGCGTGCTATACACTCTGTATCATAAGTTGTGTGCAGCAAAGGCGCAGGCCCGAGCACATGACAATAAAAAGCGCCTTTTTTGCACGAGTACCCGCGCAAAAAGAACATTCTGCAGAGCTGCGCCCTCGCACCCGTGCGTTCTCTGCACACAACTTATGAGACAGTATAATAACCGAGCCGTTTTTGTTTCTTTTGCACATTACTGTGAAAGAAGTGTCATTGCTGTTTTCTTCTCGAAGAAAACTCGGAGACGTCAGACAAAAGCAAACAGATAGAAGACTGCACATTCACACGTTTTTCCCCCTTGTGCTACAGGTCATGGCTGGTCGCGGTTCATCAGCGTTTGTTTTGAAACTGATGGGTGCCACAAGGCATGAAAGAGGTGACTTGCAGCAGCAAGACACCGCAAGCCTTCGCAGCAACTGGCTAGCCAGTGCTGCTCTGTTCTGAACTGTACTGCATGTCATGTGGAGGGTTTGTGCAAGCTCTCTGGGCGGCGACGCTAGCCACGGTAAGTGCATTCTATGCAGCTTTCTTTTAGGGATATATGTGGCTCGCAGGCCATGTCGTGCCAGCGAAATATCTGCCACCCGAGTGACAGCAGTGCTAGTGGCAAGGCTGCGCTGACAGTAATCAACACTGCACTGTGTTTTCATTCTATAACTAGTGACAAGGAACCAAATACTCCCGAGAGAGTCTCGGTTGTGCTTTGATGAACTCCAGCTCGCTTATGAACAGGTGGATGGCACAGATGGCTTTTCCTGATGAACTTGGTGTCCGTGTTAACAATGCAACCAGACTTTCTTTCAGTTTGTGACGTTTTTTCGTTGCGGGTGACTAGCATTGCAGTAGAAAAAGATGCAAAATAGTATAATGTTTGCATTCGTTACCTAAATTAATGGCAAGAACAACTGACCTACATTTCCGCCGACTACATTTCTCTGAGGAATCGCCTGGACTAAAAAGCTCGCTACACTATGTCGTTCCCTCTTAGCCTGTACAACTCTGCGTCTTCCCTCGATTGTCTTATGTGGCTGCTTCTGTGTCTGCCTAGGCACTCGGTTGAAATGGGAAAAGCTGTCTGCGCTGCACATAACCGCCATAAGAGCCAGCGTGGGCGTAGCTGGGGTAGCCCCCGCTATGGCTTCTCCAGCTCGACACAAGTAACATTCCTACCGCTGTCGTGTTAGCAGAAAACGGACGTGCTTAAAACGTTCAGTGCACGTAGTACACAATGGAGAGGTTGCTCGCCAATCATTTTCTTGGAAGTGTGAGTTGAGCCCCTTTGAGGCAGTTTGCTTCCGCACCGTGCACTATAATCCGCCCGAGAAAACAAGATGAATAACCAGTAGGATTTCTTTGTTCCAAGGCTTCTTGACGCAGAAAAAGACTAGGGAACCAGTATTGTTGCTTTTTACCACCCCGTGCGAGACTCAAACCCGACATGCAAGGGAGTGGAAAGGCCTCTTCCTTTCTGCTTTCTTGTGCCTTGGGTTTTAGCTGTGCTCACAATTCACAGCTCGCCTGCATGCCTACTCTTTTGTTCACGGTGTTACTGAAGTTTTCTGTCGTTGCTGTCCCAGATTGGCTTCGTGGATGCACAGAAATACTCAAGGCGCTTGACGTCTGTGGCTCATTTTTTTTTTCCGGTACCACGGCATGAAGGAGCTGGCCTCCCTCCCTTCCGTCAGCTGCAATATACTACAAGCACTGGGCTACAGCTGCAGCTAGCCCATGGGTACCGTTCTGCGTCCTGTACTGCATCTAGTTCGAAAGGCCATGTGAAAGGCAGGTGTGGTCTTTATGGGCTCTGTCAGTATGTGCATTTTCTGCAGCTTTTTCGGGGCAACTTCATATTAAGATTCAATACGGACTCGAGTGAGAGGGGGGCATTCTGAGAAAGCCAGCCTCTTTGTTAAATCATTGGGACTGCTATTATATCTATAGAGTTTATTTACACCTTACGTTATGTACTTTTTCATTTATTTTTATTTTACTAGTTACTTGTACTTCAATCTGACACGACAGCCACCAAAAATGTTGACATATTGGCCTTTTTTTTTTCTGTCAGTTTGTTTGAAGAGCCAATGTTGGGGGCGGTCATTCATGTTATATTTCCCACACGCACGTCCAGCCTATGTTTACGTAAAGCCCAATTGCCCCTTAGCAACAAAAATAATTTATGCGACAGACTACACGGCAGCATTGTGGACGAAAACAGGCCAGATTATATCTGCCATGTTTAAAAACTACATTGGGCGACAGGTTATGAATTCAGTGGCAAGAATGCACACCGCCTGCCAATCGCTGCCGTCAGTTGTCCTGACGTCATGTCTGCTAAGAAACTAGAATATATTTTTTTTAAATGGCAGGTTTTCGTTGCTGACGCCACGTAGCATGTCGGCACTCTAAGCACTTCTTCTGCTCTTGGCCTCTCCGGTTTTATCTTGCGAAGTCATGACGGTGTCTGCTTTTGTTTGCAGTATTTCCCGTGTGTCGACGTGAGAAGGCAGCGGTTGTATCGCCAAGGAAGTAGCAATCAATCTGCGCGCATTTGTTCCAGCGGCACAGCGTTTACAAACCGGACTTTGCCCTTCAGCGAGGGGAAAGTCTACCGACTCGCCCTACAGTTGGTGAGCATTGTGCAGCCGTGAGCGCGTAACTTGTCCGAATGCTTTCGTCTGTATACAGTGACAAAATGACTCGCTGAAATGCGAAGTACCATACAGTACCATGCCGTACATCAAACCATCGATCACTTGCTGCAGCAACTTTGCGTTTTAAGTCGTAATAATAAACTGTATTTTAAGGCTAAAATCATTATTTCAAACTGCTCAATTATTCGGAATTCTGCACGATCCCCATCGGGTCTGCAATATCGGTCGGTGGCTGTATAACCTTTAAACACAATGGTTACACACCACAGGTACCGGGGACCATGACATCAATGAGCTGGCTTTCACCTTGTCCAAGGCAGCAGCGGAACACTACGGGCGGGACCCTGGATCACTGCACCGTGGATGCCGTTCTGTACCCTGAACGGCACTGCGTGTGGCTTAAGTGGCCAAGCAGAGGGTCATTGCATGACTATTATGAGGCGCCGCTAGCCATTGTAAGTATATTTTGGACACTCATGTCTGGTGATGTACTTTTGTGCTCTACCACAGAGCACATTTGGTGGCGGTTCAGTCTTGCCAATTACACCATTTTGAAACGGAACACATTTAGTGGTGGCTCGGTTTAGGTTTCCTGGATCGGTGATCTTGCAACAGTGCCTAGACTTGGCGTAAACCTTTTTGTACTTTATTGTCAAGGCTAGTGTAATTTCTGCAATGCCGTTGAAGCCACTTCTGCACGCAAACAAGATAAAAGACGAAGCCACATGCTCGTGCACGGCGTATGACTACATGTATGCATGGGCACTCGTGCCCATGCGTACCCACTCGCAACATGGACAGGGGTGGAACGGCTGCGCCATTTGCGCCAGACGCATGTGTCTGCGCCATCCTGCGCCATGTTGCAGAAACTGCGCCACAGCCAATACCTCGCGCCATTATACGCCAAATCGCAAGACGTGCGCCAAAAAACTTTTTATTTCGTCTTAGTTTCGGTTTCTATCGACTCAATTGGCAACAATGAGGGCGTTTAGCCTGGTCGGCCTTGCAATCCTTTGTTGTGTTTATTCCCCCTGTCTATCCCGAGTCGGAAGCGCGCGAAAGAAAACTCGGATTCAAAGCGCTACACCACCTGCGACTGGATTGCTATTCTTCAACCATAAGCGGTAGGGCAAGTCGGCCGAGGTGAGGTCGAGTTTTGCATTGCATGAGGCTCTGCGGCCCGGAATCCGGACGTCATCCAGTCGAAAACAAATGAGCAAAAGATTCCTTTTAGTACTTCATCCTTAGGAGTTGGAACCGCATTCTCGCAAGATAAATCGTGATTCGATAGAACTGAAACGCGGTCCGATCCGAAACCTTGCCGGCCAGCAGCTCTTACCTTGCCGGCCAGTAGCTCTACTTATCTGCTCGGCGTACTTTAACCTTGCTCCTGCTTATCGCTTCAAATACGATAACTTCGTTAATCGTAGCCTGCTGCTTCGATACCGAGTTGCACAATAGGATAAACTCGAAATTTGTTGCCCTGCTCCTCCGTCCAACTGCACGTCCGTTGTTTACGCACGTCACGTGGTTCGCACATGTAATTACTATGTCAATCACGTGCGGGTTGTGCTATAAGCAGTGCATGGTTTGCATCTTGAGCATCTGAAAGCCATTCAGAAAATATCAAGGACGCTTTCTTCAGAAACATAGAGTACTTGCTTTTTGATTCTCATTAAGGCTCACAAAGTTTCAAGTTTTCGCATCTATTACACTGTTATCCCATCTACCTGGGTCCCTAACCACTGATGTTCATCTCTGCTCCTAAGCAAAATTGAAATTGTTCCCGTGCTTGTCTAAGACACAAGCTGAAGTGCAATGCAAACTGATCTGAGCTGCTCCTAGCCTGCTCCAGAATGTAGTTTTAGCTGCTCCCAACCTGCTCTAAAACAGCTGTTTCAGCTGCTCCCGTGGCTGCTCCCAAGTACATTTCATGAGTTCCACCCCTGCATGGAGCAAGTTTGTTTCGGCCGACACTCCTCGCGTTCATTTCGGCGTCGCCACTCCACACGTCCATGCACTCGCTGCACCTTGAGAATCAAGTGTGCACCAGAATGCACTCCCGTCATGCATCACTCAGGAGGGGAACAAGAGCAGACGACTGGGGTTTTTCCGCCATAAGGAACGAGAACCGAAAAAAAGGGGATTTTCTGCTAAGAAACTGCGTCCCACGGGCAACAAAATCGGACGCGAGCTGGGCTATTTATTCTGTGAAGCAAGCAATCGACAACCTGTGCTTCATTTTCAAGTTTTCTTTCAGTTTGTTGCCACACAGACATTGAAATACATCAATGGGGTAAAGTAAGGTTCAGAACCAACATCAGCTACCGCGAGATCTTTCATCATCCTTGCGGGGGTGAAAAATTTGGACTTCAGTTGACAAACGTCGCTTGCCCTCCTGTCCATCACCTGACCCCATTCTGCACATGTGGGTATGCGCAAGGGAGCGTGATCATGTGGCTGAAAACACAAGTGTGACCGGCCCAACGAGCACATAGTTTCCACAGCACCGTCGGCTTAGGGGTGCACGGAAGATACTGTATAAACTGGAATATAGGTCGAGCCCTTAATTTACAAGTTGCAAGATGCAAAAAAAGTTCTTATGGCAAGAAAATGCAACCTTACCTTGGTGACAAAATTGTCCAAGTATATGGAAGGACGAGAAAACACGGCAGATTTATTTAATTGTTTTGCACTCAATAAAACAGGAGGTATGCGAGTGTTACTACTCAGATTCCTCAGAGCCTTCGTCCGACGACGAGTTCACTAGCACAATTCAAAGGGATGATGCCGTCCCTTTGAATTGCGCCCTCGAGAGCTCGGAGGCACGAGCAACCTCAACGCCTTTTATACGGATGCTCTCCGACATCAAAGGTACCGATCTGGCGCACAGATCCCGAATAAAGTTTGCCACCTTAGTTTCCAATTCAGGGTACACTGCAGTCCTTCCACGGAATTAAGTTTTCTTCGCCTTGTTGCATGCCGCCTATCTTTGTCTCTGGTTTTGCCAGTAGCGTATGCGCTGCAAGATTCTTGTGGATCTCTGCATAGGCGATAGCCTTCTTCTAGAAGGCTACTGTGAACTGTCTCCTACTTCCGCTCATTATTGCTCTGGGAACAGCAACGGTAGATGTAACAAACCAAGGAGCACAAGTAAAAGTGAATCAAGACTAGTGGACGAGTGCTAGGCCATTGCAAAGAAAAACAAAATGGCGTCTTCAGGCACTCAGTGTTGCGAGATTATTTTTGTTTTTCCGCTAATGACCGTCATATAAGACGAGGGTCGACTTTTTCAGGTCCAATTTCAACAATAAATTCGACCTATATTCCGGTTTATATGCTAGTTGTGCGTAGTACTGTGGAAGCCACAGGCTGGGGAGGGGGGGGGGGATTAGCAACTTTTGTCTCAATGTTGAGCGACGAGCATTAAAGGGGCCCTGCAATCATATTTAAGCGTTTACCTTTTTTGCGGTTTCCGCGTCTCTTGGGGTTCGGGCAAGCCAGCGGGCACGGAAAGAGTAGCTAAATATCAGTGCGCCATATTTTAACCGGACGACACGGAAACCTCCTCCACCGACGAGGGCGACCCGCGGTACCGAAAGCGCGCAAAATGTGACGTCTTTGGTCCTGGGCTTACTACTGGTCAGAGCCACTAAAAACTTCTTTTTGGTCGAAATACAAAATATAAGTGGCGCGAACCGTTTCAATTATTTATAAAAGTAGTTTATGTTCACTATTATAGATGAAAAAAAGAAAGAAATGCAGTTTATAAAGTACGGAAACAAGAAATGACTCGTCGACATACTCGCCGTTAAGCGGTGGCAATAGAAAGGAGTAGTGAGATAAGGCGCAGACACGGAGAAATCCCGGATGTACGCGGTGGCGCTGCAGTCGTATGGACAGGAGGATCCGACCGGCTCCGAGCGTTCCGAAGGCCTTCGGCGAGAGGCTTTGTCTTGCGGTTTGGCCATTCCGCGGTATGGCAGCGCGAAGTGGCTCCCATTCTGAACTGAACTTTACCCCGTGTTTGCTGTCGTTTGGGGCCAATGAAGTGTCATGCCGAATTAGTGTTTAATCGCGCAGCAAACGCAATGAAAGCCGCTTTGGCTGCCCGCTGCATATAGCCTATCCAGAACATGCTTTAGTGGCGCCCTCTGGCGCCGTCGACACGGAGTGCGGCGGCCGTGAGCGCTCGATGAGCTCACTATTCCTCCTCTAGTTCACGGCCACTCAAGCCAGGACCTACGACGTCATGAAGGAGGTTATTTTTTGCTTGTTTTTGTAATTCTAAATTGCCTATAACTTTTAAAGTAAAGCGAATTTCGCGAAAAGAAAAGTTTCACTAAGTTACTATGTTCAGTGCGCTCAGGTTCGGTGCAAATTAAAAAAACAGTTAAAAGTCCTTGCAGGGCCCCTTTAAGGGCCAATTTCCTAGGGGGAGAATGGTGACGTGCGAGTACAAAAATGAGGATCCAAGCGCCATGAGCAAGAGGGGAGTTCCTCCTTTTCCTCCTCTTGAACTGCTAGAGGTATACTTACGCCCCTGTACCTTTGGTAACACTGCACAATTTGTAAGTTGAGGAAAGCTAAGAAGGAAGTTGAAGAATCGATTCATGGCCCCTTTGACATTTACCTACACTAGTTATCTTGCACCATTATATTTTGTTTGAGAAAGCTCTCATCCTCACCTCTCCCATAAGGGATAAAATCAGAAGGGTACACAACGATCGGAATCTAAAGTGCCACGAAACCTATTGCTGGACATTCTAACGGGTTAGTGATCAATTTTTGCATGAATGAGGCCTTACCAGTGCCTTTGCCTCAATAGTGTGGTAAAAGGGCAATTTTCTTGTTTGTGAACACAAATTTGTTTTGAAACATAACTTGCGGGACTACCAATGCATGTTTCAAGATCTCTGTTGTGGTGAATGTTTTGCTGCCTGTTATATTCTTCAATAGCCAGTATCGTTTAAGTTCTGGAACTCTATACAGTAAACTCTCACTTGAGCAAACTTCTAGGGACTCAAGGAAATAGTTCCCTTAACTAGGAGTCCACTAAACTGAATATATTCACTGGAATATGGAACAGCATAGGGCACAGCATACATCGAGTCAAAAGGGTGAAATGCAATTTATGGAGTCATGTACATTGATATATACAAAGTGTATCACAGTTACGCTGCTGCCTTTCTCATTTTGAAAATAGTCAATAATTTTCATTTGCACCGGCGCTCTGAAAGCGCATGAAGTAACAAAGTTGCCCAGAGAGTATCTTTTTTATGCATATCCTCTGGCACGGCTAGTTGCTGTGAGGAAGTCATACCGCAACGGCACTGTCCACTGGCTTAAAATCTTCTGTGCAGAGTCGTTCCCTGTTGGGATTGAACACAGTTTCTCTTTCAAGCTTCGACTTTTGCTTCACTAACGTTGACAACGTCGACGGTAGCATCCGATAGTCCTTCACAACGTTCACTTGCCTTTGACCGTTGTCCAGATGCTGAAAGTATTTCAATTTGTCTGAGAGACAACCGCTTCCATTTCGTCATACTTATTACGTAAGTGGGCGCACAAACTGCCGTTGTTACCCAAAACTAAGATGGCCGAAAGGAACCAATGATAAAGAAAAAAAATACGCACCGCATGGTTCGTTTTTGTCTACCGCACCGCTGCTGCAAAGGCGGCGGCGGCCATCAGCTACGCCAGCACTGCAGAGCACAAAACTTCGTTGAACTGATCACACCAGTAATCCTGGGTCCACCGATCAAGTTCGTTGAACTGAAATATTCGCTATTCCGAAATTTGTTTTTCGTAGAGCAAACATTTTTGCATAGAATGCAAAGGAAAACCGCCATAGATTTTTTAAAGTTTGTTACTCTGAAATACTTGTTAAACCGACGTTTGCTCAAGTGCGAGTTTATTGCACCCGACTACTGTGCGTTGCCCTACATGTTCGGGTAAGGTACTGTTTCTGTTCACCTGATGGGCACTTTCGTTCTCTGCATACACCACAGGTTTCAAACCGCCCTGAATCGTGGATCAAGCCTTGCAAGATGGAAGTTCTCTTTAGGCCCAGCGCCTCTTGATGGATCAAGTCTTGTACGCCATTCCCTCGTTTCTTTCATATAAGTAAATTGTTGGTATTTCTTTTATGACAGTGCGCATTACCTGCCGACCACGTTTTACAGTCGAAACTTCTTTTATATAGACCCCTTTCTTTGCTAATGCCACCAGGCGGTGCTCCAGTTTGTTTGACGTCTCGGCGAACTTCTGATTCAAAACAAGAATGAACAAAACCCACTTTGACACTGCTGCCTAAAATGTCGATAAAACGTGTAACCACCAATTCTCCAGGTGAGCGCCAAAAGAATGAAGAAACGGGAGATATGTTAAAATGTTTCGAATATTTTGTACACCAACTTGCCTCCTCCAAGACATTAAATTGTACTGCCAATTGCCCTCATTAAATCTCCAACTTTGATGTATGTGTAGCATTTATGCTTTCTAGCACTGGTGACATGAACAAGCTCAACAGGCTTGCAAAGACTGAGCGACCAGAAGTCACTTGGGACACAAGCAGCAGTTCATGTTTGTAAACAGCAAAATCTAGATGAACGGCTGTACGCTGCCGTTCCCACGGCAGCTTACGCAGCCGCAATTTTTACCGAGACGCATGCGGGGAGCTATGTACTTCACATTGTTTGCGCGTGCCTTATCATCTATCTTGTGGTTTTGACACTTGTGGTTTTCTTGTTGAAAACTACAAGTGTCAAAACTATGTGATAGAAGACAAGGTGCGCCGCGCAATGCTTTTCTGTCCACTACTGTTCTGTTAACAGACGGAAAAAAAACCTGACCAACGGAGTCATATACAGCTTCGCTGTAAAATTGCAGTAAAATGCGACGAAAAAACGAATAGAACGCGAAGTGGAGAAACGAGTGACTATTTGAAGCCACCTAATGGCCGCTGTGTCACGTGATTTCAAGATCGCAGCACCCATGCGATGGAGGGTGAAAAGGTCTAAAGAATTTTAGAAATAAATTGAAGGGATGGCATAAAACCATTTGCAGGGGGGACTGCCTAGCTCGGAGCCCAAGCTACTGTTGCATTGGTAGGAATTTGGCATTAGGAAGATGGTGTGGCTGTAGCTGGCTTCAGTTGCTGCATTGGCATATGCATCTATTGACAATTGGTGACCATAGCATGCAGAATTTATTGTACAGGAGGAGAGACAGTTGTGACGAGATCAGGAGCATGATTTTGCTTGTTTGGAGTGCTTTTCAATGTGGCTGCAGGACATGAACATAGAGTAGAGTTTTCAATAAGGACTGAATGTGTATGGCCAATATTTTCCAGCACCTAATATTTTAACAAGCCTTGCATGAAAGGAGTTTCTTACAGCAGAGCTGTTAAGGGCTAGTTTCCCCAGAATCATGTCCGGTACCAAACAAATGTCAACACCTGTGGTCGACACAACACTGTTTGCCGCCGTCGCTCATAGATCGCGGCAACCTTTCTAGCCTTGGCAACCAGAGAACTGGTTGCTGCCATCGCTGATAGATGGCGGCAACATTTCTTAGGAGGAAGAAGAGCGGGAACGGAACGAGCAGTGATGTGCGCAGCAGCACGAATGGTTCTGCTATTACCTAAAGTTCCACTGCGTCAAGCGCTTCAGATTCCTTTACGAAAGAAGAGCAGATCGCTCTCCTGAAAAGCCACCACCGAAAACAGAAGCTGCAGCTCCGCTGCTCTTCCTTCTTTACCAGAGTGGAAGTACCAGAGCACCATGTTCCAGAGTGTCTGGAACATGGTGCTGAAGTATCAAACTGCCTCTGATGTTGCGAACAAAAAAAGATGCCACCAGAACATCTCGGTGCTAATAGTTGCCGACAAGGTGAGAAACGCAGGGCATCTCTTAACGCCCAGCCTCCAGCAAGCATTTGTTGCCTTTTCTCATGCTTTGTCTGCGCATGCATTGTTGAGGCTCGCAAGATGCCAAAGCATTGCCAAATGTAGGAGGCTCCTCCCTGCAGTTCTTGTTGTCCTACATTTGATCCTCGAGGCACACCCCAGGTTGGTAGAAAAACATGCGATAGTCTATTGAACACCTGTACACGATCCGGGCAATATGCTAGATATAGTCCCTAACGGAATGAGAATGTATGGGCGTGTCTTCCATACGCTCGGGCTCAAAGCATTGCTGAAGGTAGGAAACTCGTGCTAAAGTGAGGGCAACTGAAGCTTCACCCTGCCGTCCTCATCTTGCGAGTTGCTAGTTATTAATCCATTTTAAATGTGGCAATGCTACACCATACAATAACGGTTTTTACAAAAGTAATTTGTGGTTCATCTTATCAAAAGCTCGTTATAAATCGAAATGAATAATATTAACTTGCTTCCAAGAGAGAACAAATGGCACTGTGTATTCAAGCTTACAAAATCCAATTTTTACAGAGCAACTTTCTAAAAAAAATTGCGTTCAATGGTGCTCTGTTCAAAACTGGAGTAAAAAGATCCATGTCTGTGTATAACTATCTTAAACACTTTCAAACAAACATACAGTAAGGAAATGGGGCAGTGAATGTCTACCCTAGACATGTCACCCGCCTCCCACACACAGACTCATGTTTACAAACAAACCAGAGCGCCCCTAGCGGACGCTGCGCGGTGGACGGTGGGCAAGAGGCTCGCCGTCGCCCATAAACAAACCATTGAATTGCGTTGTCAACGTCGGTGTGAGCCCCCGTGCTCTTTTTCCGTTGGAATTGTTTATTCTACGTCCTCCTAACAATGTCTGACTACTTGAGCGGCTTCAGCAAAATTAATGAGGTTCGTTGCACCGCAAAACTGCGTAAATAATGCGACGTGTGGCGATTCATTTCACGTGGACGCCGCAGAATGAGCGCAAAAGCCCGACTCCCACGATGAGTCATCTCGCTATTTTCAGTCCCGACGTCGCTCGGGCTGTAAAACCGTAGGCCGTAGCCGAGATGGTGGACGTCGATACTGAAAACGGCAAGTAGAATCATTACAAGTCGGTGACGGCCGCTGGTAGCAATGATCAATATCTTCTTGTATCTACTTACACTTAGCCTACTTACCCCAACCAACCTTCAAAATTGTTTTGAGGCCTGCATTTACTTATCACAATTACCGGGTCAAAACTTGGTTTACGGGCAGCTGTCGTTTGAAAGAGCAGACGACAGTTCGAACGGATGCGCAATGGAGTGCGGGCAAGAAGCGCCGCGTCCTGCGTCGACAAACCATTGGAATGTCACGTCGGCTTCCGTGTGAGTTTGCATACTCTTTTTCGTGTTGGAATTGTCGATTCTATGTCCTCATAACAATGCCTTACCACTTTAATCGCCTGAGCGAAATTATCAAGGTTCGTTACGACGCTGCACTTTGCGTAAATAATTTGACGTGCCGCGATTCATTCGCATGAACGCCGCAGAATGGATGCCGAAACCATGATGAGATTCTTCTAGCTATTTTTGGTCGCAACATTGTTTGTGCTGCAAACGTGTAAAAGGTAGCGGCGATGGACAACGTCAATACTGGAGATAGGAAGCTGGAACACACCAAGCGTAACAAGTCGGCGATGGCCACTGGTGCCAATGATCAACATCTTGTATCTACTGTTTTCGCCGAGCCCACTTAAATCTTTTGAGGCTTGCAATTACTTCTTATTACAATCACCCGGTCAAAGTTTGGTCCGCGGGCCGCTTTTGTTTGAACGAGCAGACGACAAAAAAGTGAAAGCCGTTTACAAGTAACTCCCTGTAACGCCGAATTAGAGCGCAGCTCTTGAGGAGGAGGAGGGAAGGGAACGGGGGGGGGGGGGGGGGGTCATGTGCCGATGCCGATCACGTCGTCAGTAACGATGACGATACCGATGACGCCATCAGTGATGATGACGATGAGGATGCTGGTGACGTCATCAGTGATGATGACGATGCGGATGCTGGTGACGTCATCAGTGATGATGGCGTCATCGCATCATCAGTGATGATGACGATGCGGATGCCGGTGGAAAGGGGTCATGTGACCTTGGAATGACCTTGGGGGGTCACGTGACCTTGGTTACGCCGACGCCGCTCAAGCCGGGAACGGGCCCCTAAGAGCTGCGCTCTAAAAGCAGACAAGTTTGAACGATCAGGCGGCCGTGTGAATTTGAAGACTCGCTGAACCCCCGGGTGGTCCGGACAACATGGCGGTTTTCTCTCGTTCATGTTGGAACACAACTACATCTGTCGAGCACAAAGCGTTGCCAGCATAAGCAATCGTAGTTCGACAGCGTCTGGTTTGCCCTTGTCACGAATACTATCCACGTTTTTGGACGAATGGAGGGGCAGAAACACATGAAAACTGATCTTTAAACCTTTCCAGAGTCTCTTGGTACAGTTCCGTCGCAGCATTTTGACGAGAAGGCAGGTTTTTTGTCTGGTTTCTCCCAAAAGAACACAGGAATGCATGTCTTGCACCGCGACTTCTGCCCACCACCCCAAACCGAAAGTGCGCCCGACGCGCCACCACCATGGCGTGACGTAGGAGAGCTGAGTTCATGTATACCGGTACTGCAGTAGACTTTCTCCACAACAATGGAAGAGCACGATTCCTTAGGTGATATGCATGCTTCAGTGATGGGGCAAACAAATCAGTGCTGCCCTTAACAATAAAACAAGATATAAAATCTGCACCCAAGAACAGCCTCGTTTTAATTTCTTTATTGCTTTTAACATTTCGGTGTCAACTTCCTTGTTGCTGAAATGTTCCTGAATATTACTGAAAAAAAGATGTGCTTGCATTGACGAAAGTGTGAATGTTGTGAACACATTCCTCACCAAACAGCAGATCTCCAACAATATCTGGACCTGCTTGGCAATGGTAGCAATGTGTGTACAAATGTTCTTAGATGTAGGTCAGTTGACACACTCGGAAAATGCCCGACGCCCTTTTGAGGCACATCCGCTCAATGGCATCTGCTACACTATCAGCTCGTCGGATGCACATTACCTGCGGTGGAAGGTGGTTTTATTGTGGTTCTTATAGTAAACATAAGGTCTGCACAATACTTAACGCAAAAAGAGTATTTAAAAAATGTTTTTTTGCTGACCGTGGAGGCATTGACGCTGTGGCGCTAAGAACGTTATCCACCCTTACCTGCTTGCATGCCGGCAACAGAAAACTGTTTTTGAATGCTGCTTTTCCGTGGAGCTTGTCAACTGATAGATCCAAGAACGTTGGCATGTATGGCCCAAGGGGAGGCATCTATTTTCCAAAGCACCGGTTTAGAAACCCCTATTTTATTGAATCCTTTCAAAAAGATGCCCAGTTTAGAGAAAATGGCAACGAACCTCCTTTTATCAAATTTGTTTTTAGGAAAACAATTCACCGAACTCGACTGCTTGCTCTAGCATTCGCTTGTTCTGCCTTGGCTGACGGTGAAGCTGAGCCAGTCAGCGAGTCGCTCGCTTGGGCGGCCAGCATTATCAGAGTATGATAGACACGTTTTCGTGCATGTCACTACCCTGCTGTTTTCGCAATAGTACTTTTACGTTCTGTTTGTTTTACGGCTTAAATCATGCCTTAGTGAATCATGCGCTGGCCTTTAGGTGCTTCCAGATTTGCTTATCTTAATGCAATCGAATGGATTCACTAAACTGCGACCCTTTTTCAATAAATGATGCTGCTGTAAACTGAGCTTCGATAAAATGTGCCAGTCCTCGAAAACACGCTTCTATGATATGGTGTTCGGTCAAATGCCATAGACCCCTGCACGAGTGCAACTGAGCAGCAGTTGTAGGTGCAGCACATTCCATTAGCATGAAATAAAGGCACACAGTCAAACAAAGCACCTCAGTCATGATGCCTAGGAAATCAGCGAACATAGAAATATTTTACACTGGGTACTATTCAGTTTCATATCTCTAACATTGCCATCCCGCTTCGGCTAGTCCCTAGATTGTTGACAGCTGCCCCGGCGAGGATGCTTTCCGGACATTCGGAAATAAAACATCTCAGCACAGGTGCTATCCACCCCTGTTTAACCACGTGTTCTTTACGAACATAACTCGGCTTCCAAACGATATTATAGAACGCCGTAAGGGGTCCATATCACATGAGCGAATGACATTTTAGCGAACAGCGACATTCGTCACTTTCTACGTTTCCGGATTCATACATAACCAGACTGTCGTTAGCAAAATTGTAGGTACTGAAAACAGGGAAATGAGTGTGTGTGATGGGTTGGTAAGGAAAAGAAACGTGGACAAAAGGCAAACAAGCAATTTAGGAGACAAGACGACCCACCGAGCTAATGCTCTGTACGAATCTAAACCTCAAATACTACTTTCAGTACAAATACAAGATACTTTCAATATTACGCGATAAATAGCCACCAAAATTAACGTACCAATTGGGCAGTGCTGTTCGTAAATCACGTAAATCGCCGAAATCACAGGACGTTCGCAAAACATGCGCGTAACAAAACGGCCATCTTGAAAAAATAAAAATAGTGATGATGATAGCGATGTGTATTCTGTAAAAACTCTGAGGACAAATGCAGTCAATGTTTTTTTTCTGATTTTTCTTCAGATTTATGTATGGCAATAGCAAAAACTTTGGAAAACTTACTTCCCCTAGCAAGACCTCATTAAAATAATGGTAACAAAATAGTCTTAAGGTTTAAACACATAGACGTGTTGAAATACACTTGGCAATGTCTACGTGGAGTTTTTTTTTTGCATGGGTTGTGGCAACGTAAGAATGCCAACCTCCGATTTAAGGAAAGTGGATAGACCTCAAAGCAGCTAAACCTGTGATTAAGGATAGTGGATAGACCTCAAAGCAGCTAGCATCGCCTACCCACCATCCTTCAATCAGAGCTCGGCATTTCGACGTAACCACAAGCAGACGAACCTGCGCTCCACAAGAACCTTTTCTCAGTAATTGAATGCAAACAGAACAAAGACTTGGGAACTTTTCTTGCTGATAGCCTTTCCTTTAAAATGTGAATGGTCAAAAGCCAATGCTACGAAAGGCTGAAACACTTCGGACATAGCATGTTAAGGTGGCAAGAAAAATTAAACAGGGATATCTATCTTCTTTCCATCAAACTTTTCGGGGCTTCATCTTTGCAATAATTACCTTCTCACATGTTTCACAGTGATCTGTGGCATGGATTTACCACACTCCTTTTGTGAAGTGAAGCAAGAGGGATACACCGTCATCAGAAAAACAAACTATTTATTTAAGACAGGGAGCCACGAGAGGGGAAGATGGCAAGACCCGATCTACCAGAAAGGAGAGGGCATAAGAGTGAGGTCTTGCAAGGCTCGGTCCGTGATTCAGGACGGTTTGAAACCTATGAGGAATGAAGAGAACAAGGGAGTCCATCAGGTCAACAGCAACAATATCTGACCCAAACATGCAAGGCAATGAACAGCAGGGGCGAATTTGTCAGGCTGGTTGGAGTGGGGGTCGGTGGGAGGGGGGGCGGTTTGCAAGATGATATCACGGGCAAAATGTTGCCCAGGTCTGTTTTGTTGACCTAATAACCAAAAACTAATAATTTCTTCCTAGGAAAAGCTGGAGTATGTCGATTTTTCATTAAGAAGTTAACCTCAAGGGGGGGGGACGTGACTCCCCCCCCACAAAAAAAAATCCGCACATGATGCAGAGCACTCGAGTATACACCAAGAAACTGAGGGAGAGGAGGAGACGAGAGCATGTGGGGACGTCAGAATACAGAGCTCTGGTTGGAATGATTAGAGGGTAGACCTAGCTGCCTTTGTATCCACTGCACTCGTCGAAGGCGTTTGAATGTGAAAGCCATACGCTGGACACCAGCGTTCCGCGTTCTAACGTGTTCGAATGAGAGAACAAAACGCTGGATGCCGGCGTTCCATCTTCAAATGTGTTCGACGAGTGCAGCAGAGACAGAAGCTATCTTTGTCTCCACTGCACTCGTCGAACGCATTCGAATGCAAAAAGCAAAAGCCAGACACCGTCGTTCCGCATGTGCAGAACAGATAAAGGCAGCTAGCTTTAGGTCTACCCACTAATCGTTCCAATCAGAGCTCTGCGTTCTGACGTCCCCGCACTCTCGTCTCCTCCTCTCCCTCAGTTTTTCGGCACAGGGTTCTGGGAGTTTAACACTGGCTAGCGAAAAATCCAACAGACAGCACCACATCCACAAAAAAATACTTTCTTTGGCACTTCCCAAAGGTGTTCTAAATTGCATAGCATTCATAGGATCTCTTTGCACCCTACCCGTCGCCTAGAGTCCACTTCAGGACTCCGGGCGACGTCCACTTGGAGGAGGGACCGTCCCGTGTGATCTGGCTGGTCCCTTGAAAACGGGAAATGTGCAGGGAAGTGTGAGAGTAGGCCAGAAGGGTGGTGTACTCTCCCCGACATGATACAGAACGAGCAGACTCGAAGCCAGACGACTCTGGCCGGAATGTCTACAGCTTACACCTTCTCAGGGGAGGGAAACCAGTGGCTCTCGCAAGTCACTCGGTTTTCCTCTAATGATCTTGTCAAGACTTCTTCAATACCCGTATCAAATAAAAGCGGTCGTGCTCAGCAGCGTCTGCTTGAATTTTATTCGGAGACCGTCTGTTAAAGGGACCTTGAAATGATTTTAAAATCGAATTTCATCCACCGCAAGCCGTAAAAGGTGTGAAAAGAAACACAAAAACACAAAAATAGGGAGCCAAAAAAATTATTTGCTATAGAACTTTTAAAAGAAAACTGGACTCTTTTGCGCCTTCTTTCACTACGATGCATCCGCGGAAACGGAGCACGTCAGTCGAATCCACGTCGCCTATTGGGTAAGAGCCTACCTCACCAGCACCGCGATCGTAAACAATAAATAGCCGGCGAATGTTTCCTAAAAGTTTTGTTAAATAATATTCAGATCCACATTTTGTAGCATAATTAGAGATGTGTGGCGAAAATTGGCAAATTTGATAATGCTGAGAGCCAAGCGCTATCTATCGTGTGGTAAACGAATCAACTACTGCGCGTGCGCAGTAGGGCAGCTTGGGTCGCGACGACCGCAACGACCGACGAACGTTTATTTCCTTGGATTTCCTTCCTCTCAAAACTATGACTGACTGAACGTTTATTTTTCTACGTGTTCTTCTCGCGCGTGCAGACTTCAAGCAGCAAGAAAAAAAGTACTTAAAACAGACCACGACGAACAGGAACGCTGGATCCACAAACACCCGAGAAAAGCGACTCCGACGAAGCGAGCTGCTCAAAAAATAGGCCTAGCAGGCACTCCGACTCGGCGCAGCGTTGCTTCGTTGCAAGACCGTCTGGCGTGCTGAATGGAATATGCCCGCGCTACCCTTGTGGACCCTTCCCGTATTATAGTTTGATCGCTGACCTCAATTTTAGATTAAGAGGTGAGGTCAATCTCTTCCCATTGTTTTCCGAGGCAGTGTTGACGAATACTCGTCGAAAAGGGACTCTCGCCGATTCTGTCTTCTTGTTTTGTGTGATATAGAGCTGAAATAAACGCCGTATGGATTACCTTCGTAACACCATATGTTACGTACACGGTATGTTACGATATGTTGTTATTGGTGTGCCATTTTTATTCTGACAGACTGCACGTCACTGTCGAGCTATAACCTTTCTTTGCCGAGTGTCGCATCACAGCGCGAATACAGCACTTCCATCAAACGCGCGCGTCCGCTCAGAGTGTGAACAGGTATTTACGTGGCTCTTGCTGACACTCGTAGTTCAAATGTATCTTTTTTAACGTCAGCTCACTCCTGCACCTCCGAGGCCGCGAAAAACACCGCGGCAATTTGTTTCCATCTACGTTGCTTTGCAAACGACTGACACTGGCCGCCTTTTACCAACAGTGACAGTTGGGTTGACTTCTGGAGTCTTCATCGGAAGACTCGCTGCACTTCCCAAAAGGCATACCGGCGTATGGGACTAGTCCCATGCTGTCGCTGTAGCGCAACATATCTAATTGAATTTCACTCAGCTGCGATGCGGCGATGAGAGGCGCCGATTCAGAAAATACGTCGGTTACATCAGCGCTGTAAAACCTACCGGCGTACCCCAACTCGTCGCCGCTAACGCTCCCATTCTCCTACTGCCGAGAGAACTTCCGGTTCCGGAAACAGCGTACGTCACGGCTTGTTTTGCGGTCAGTGGGAGAGAAAGAAAAAGTCAATATTTCATTAATTTTTTGTGTAGAAGTTAATAAACCGAAACGAAAACGGATGCCTGTTCGGCATTCAGTGAACATTGACGGTTTAATGTAAAAGTTATCTGGGAAAAAGTAAAAAGGTCATTTCATGGTCCCTTTAATCAATGTCGGAGGCAAGCGCAAGAAGGAGGAGAGGTACCATGTGAATGTGCTGAAGTGTGTTGAACGTACCGAAAACGTTACCCGGGGGATGTCCTTTGTAATGGAAGCACCCGACGAAATCGGTGACGAAATGGCGTGTTTTGATGTACGGACCCGAGAGAACGGGTCAAGCGGAGGGCTGAATGTGGATGCTGAAGTTCAGGCTCACGAGGTTCAAGAACTGGACGAGTTGGTTCGGTCCTACGGTGATATCTTCGACGATAGGCCAGGTAGAACCACGAGATCCCAAAGAGCGCCGACCCGATTGCGTCGAAAGCGTACAGAGTTCTGTACAGTATCAAGGCGGGGGTAGAGGAACAACTGAAGGAAATGCTGGAAATGGGGCATCATACGAACATGGACAAGTCCGTGGGCATCCCCGATAATATGCGTGAAGAAGAAAGACAACAGCATGAGGATCTGTGTCGACTTCAGGAGGCTGAACGTGACAAGACAGGATGATGCCTACCCCATGCCTTCACTCCCTGAGATGATTGAGACTGTGGGGAGAGCCAAAATAATCGGCACCCTTGACATGTCCCAAGGCTACTGGCAAATCGGTTTATCAGAGGAGGCTTTTTTTAAGATAGCATTCCGTACGGACACCGGCTTGTACGAATTTACGGTGATGCCGTTCGAACTGAAAGGAGCACTGGCGACATTCCAAAGGTTGGTGGACGACCTCCTGAAAGAGCACCAAAACTTTGCTCGGGCATACTTAGATGACATAGCGGTGTTCAGCAACATGTGGCAGGTGTTCAGCAACACCTGCTTCATTTGTGCACCATCCTAAAGAAGTTGCATCAGGAAGGCCTGGCTCTAAAAAATAAACAAGTGCCAGTTTGGGAGGCGGGAAGTGCACTACCTGGGGCACGTGATTGGGAATTGGCAAGCACAACCTGACCATGATAAGATTGAGGCCATCCAGGCGATCGAGAGGCCCTACACGAAGACAGAAGTCCGTTCCTTCTTGGAACTAGTTAACTTCTACCGGAATTTCATTGAAAACTTCGCGGAGCTGGCCGCACCGCTGACCGACCTCCCACACAAGGCTGAACCTAAGCAAGTAGTGTGGACGCCGTCATGCGAGAGCGCATTCGGCGCACTGAAGGAGAGAATACGCAGCAGTCCAGTGCTGTGGAGCCCAGACCCGAGTCGACCCTATATACTCCAAGCAGACTCTAGCAACAGGGCGATCGGGGCCATTCTAGCTCAAACTAGCGAGGGTGTCAAGCACCCCGTTGCGTACGCCAGCCGTAAGCTACTTCTTCTTGAGAAGAAGTATGCAACAATTGAGAAGTGTCTGGCAATTGTGTGGGCCATGAAACATTTTCATGTGTATGTTGATGAACAAAATGTCACAGTCCAGTCGGACCACAACGCGCTCCGGTGGCTAAACAATAGCAGGCAGGACAATGACCGTCTACAAAGTTGGAGCCTGTTGCTGCAGGCCTACCAGATTAAGATAGACTACAAACAGGGTTGCTTGCATTCGAATGCGGACGCCTTGTCGCGTATCTATGAGCACTATGATCAGAATGTAGTGCCCTGCCAAGGCTTGCGATCCGCTTCTCCACTGAACATGTAGTCGCAAAGATTTTTCTTTTATTTTTACAAACCTGAACGTTGAGAATGTGAAAAAATAAAAGAAAAAAGTTTAATGTATTTAGAGCATTTCACTTGTGCGTGTCTGTTTCGGATGCTTAGTTTTATAGAGCAGTATTACAGGAGGAGTTGCACTGTGCAATGAAAACAATGGGCATTTCGTGAGCAGAGGCTCGCAAATCTTGTTTTTATATGTTATCATTTCGGTTAAAGGGGCGTGTTGTGTAATTTTGTACCTTTTGCCTTCATCGGGGGTTCGAGCATCTTTACTACACCTTGCATGCCCCCTCCCGGGGTCGATGGGCCCCAAGTGGAGGCATCAACGTGAACATTATAACCTTACACCTGTTTATATAGAACTCCGCATATAACTTCTTTGCCTACAAAGGTACTTTGTATTATTTTAGCTGTCCTTGACGCACATTGTGCCGCATTATGCCAATGATGGCATGTCCCATCCCATGTTGTCGACCTTTCGAGGTTGTACGGGAAATCGGCTATTGTAAACATGAGAGGTATATTAAGGACTTGTAAATGCGCTTGTAGGGGTCTAAGATTGGAATGTTTACAGAGTCAGCGGTGGAGGGCCGTTTTGTTTTGGATAGCGCCAACTGAACTCATTTATTACTTTGCTTGTCGGGATATCTGTAGCCCTACCACAGAGACGAGAATGCATGTTAGAGGGAGAGAGTGAAAGAGAGAGACGAGGGTAGCTATGTTGGGAGTGGGAGAGTTGAGAAGGGGGAGTTGACTGAGAGACTTGAGAGGAGACACATCGAGAGCGATGCAGCAGGAGTTGAGATAAAAGGCCCATCAAGAGCGATGCGGAAAAATCGAGTGGATAAAGTGCAGGCGTGTCACTTAGAGAGTTAAACGGCAGAGGCCATCGAGTTTTGAGAACTAGCGAACTCTAACTATGCTGTAATTTTTGTGTATAACACCTGCATATTAAGCCAAGTCATTCAACCCTAAGTCTATGATTCCGACATCACTAAAACCCTTGACTGGCAATCGGCGACAACGACGTCAGCACAGACCCGAAGACGAGCGACTTCATGTCACGAGACGAGACGAGATGAATATAAACTTTACAGACCAGATAAAAGTGAGTGACGCATTGGCTAACGTTGCGTCTTGGTGTCATGAAAATAACATGAAGATTAATATTAACAAAACTCAGTACATGCATATTACAAAAAAAAAGAACTATCTAAAATTTTAGCTATGAGGTTGCTGGCATAGGACTGACTGAAGTAGACAGTTACAAATATTTGGGAGTGATTTTGTCTTGTGACCTTGGGTGGAAAAGGCATGTACGGTATGTTAAGAAGCGGGCAACTAACAAATTGTGGTAGCTGAGGAAAACGCTGGGTAAATCTCCCCCTTCCGTTGAAATTCTTGCTTATAAGACAATTATTAGACCTGCGTTAGAATATGTGTCTGGAGTGTGGAGCCCATGGCAGAGCTCTCCGGTCAGAGAACTCGAAGATATTCAATTGCTAGCTGTGCATATAGTTTTCTTCAGATTTCAGACAAACTATGTCTGTGACCGAATTTAAAAGGAGAGCCAATATAAGCCCGCTGTCAAACAGAAGAGAGAGCCAATGTTTAAAGCTGTTCTTTCAGATTTTCAAGAATAGTATAAAAATTGATAGCGTGATTTACTTAAAAACAAAAAGTTTTTACTCGGATCGCTTGCATCACTCACAGACCGTAGCCCCTATTAAAGCTCGAATAAATAGCCATAAACAATCTTTTTCTGTGCATACAATTGATTTTTGGAACAGCCTTCCCGGTGATGTTATCGATATTGATTCACTTTCTTCTTTCGGAAGAGCCGTAGATATTATTTTTCAGTGCTAAGATTGCATTTATTGCTGTTATGACATTATTTTTACTGTCTTTGTTTTTTATTAGTTATTACTGCTGTACTGTTACTGTTATTACTAGCAATACATTTGGTTACTGTATTACTGTTAATATTGATTGATTTTCTTCTTTCGATTAAGTCGTAGATATTTTTCAGTGCTAAGATTGCTTTTTGTTTAGAACTGTTGTGTTTATAATTTGCAGGTATGACACTGTATCACCCCACTCCTGCCTTGGCCCTATATTGGGCCGGCAGTATTGATAAATAAATAAATAAAATAAAAAAGTCTGTGTGGCAACAAACTGAAAGAAAACTTGAAAATGAAGCACAGGTTGTCGATTGCTTGCTTCACAGAATAAATAGCCCAGCTCGCGTCCGATTTTGTTGCCCGTGGGACGCAGTTTCTTAGCAGACAATCCCCTTTTTTTCGGTTCTCGTTCCTTATGGCGGAAAAACTCCAGTCGTCTGCTCTTGTTCCCCTCCTGAGTGATGCATGACGGGAGTGCATTCTGGTGCACACTTGATTCTCAAGGTGCAGCGAGTGCATGGACGTGTGGAGTGGCGACGCCGAAATGAACGCGAGGAGTGTCGGCCGAAACAAACTTGCTCCATGTTGCGAGTGGGTACGCATGGGCACGAGTGCCCATGCATACATGTAGTCATACACTGTGCACGAGCATGTAGCTTCGTCTTTTATCTTGTTTGCGTGCAGAAGTGGCTTCAACGGCATTGCAGAAATTACACTAGCCTTGACAATAAAGTACAAAAAGGTTTACGCCAAGTCTAGGCACTGTTGCAAGATCACCGATCCAGGAAACCTAAACCGAGCCACCACTAAATGTGTTCCGTTTCAAAATGGTGTAATTGGCAAGACTGAACCGCCACCAAATGTGCTCTGTGGTAGAGCACAAAAGTACATCACCAGACATGAGTGTCCAAAATATACTTACAATGGCTAGCGGCGCCTCATAAAAGTCATGCAATGACCCTCTGCTTGGCCACTTAAGCCACACGCAGTGCCGTGCAGGGTACAGAACGGCATCCACGGTGCAGTGATCCAGGGTCCCGCCCGTAGTGTTCCGCTGCTGCCTTGGACAAGGTGAAAGCCAGCTCATTGATGTCATGGTCCCCGGTACCTGTGGTGTGTAACCATTGTGTTTAAAGGTTATACAGCCACCGACCGATATTGCAGACCCGATGGGGATCGTGCAGAATTCCGAATAATTGAGCAGTTTGAAATAATGATTTTAGCCTTAAAATACAGTTTATTATTACGACTTAAAACGCAAAGTTGCTGCAGCAAGTGATCGATGGTTTGATGTACGGCATGGTACTGTATGGTACTTCGCATTTCAGCGAGTCATTTTGTCACTGTATACAGACGAAAGCATTCGGACAAGTTACGCGCTCACGGCTGCACAATGCTCACCAACTGTAGGGCGAGTCGGTAGACTTTCCCCTCGCTGAAGGGCAAAGTCCGGTTTGTAAATGCTGTGCCGCTGGAACAAATGCGCGCAGATTGATTGCTACTTCCTTGGCGATACAACCGCTGCCTTCTCACGTCGACACACGGGAAATACTGCAAACAAAAGCAGACACCGTCATGACTTCGCAAGGTAAAACCGGAAAGGCCAAGAGCAGAAGAAGTGCTTAGAGTGCCGACATGCTACGTGGCGTCAGCAACGAAAACCTGCCATTTAAAAAAAATATATTCTAGTTTCTTAGCAGACATGACGTCAGGACAACTGACGGCAGCGATTGGCAGGCGGTGTGCATTCTTGCCACTGAATTCATAACCTGTCGCCGAATGTAGTTTTTAAACATGGCAGATATAATCTGGCCTGTTTTCGTCCACAATGCTGCCGTGTAGTCTGTCGCATAAATTATTTTTGTTGCTAAGGGGCAATTGGGCTTTACGTAAACATAGGCTGGACGTGCGTGTGGGAAATATAACATGAATGACCGCCCCCAACATTGGCTCTTCAAACAAACTGACAGAAAAAAAAAGGCCAATATGTCAATATTTTTGGTGGCTGTCGTGTCAGATTGAAGTATAAGTAACTAGTAAAATAAAAATAAATGAAAAAGTACATAACGTAAGGTGTAAATAAACTCTATAGATATAATAGCAGTCCCAATGATTTAACAAAGAGGCTGGCTTTCTCAGAATGCCCCCCTCTCACTCGAGTCCGTATTGAATCTTAATATGAAGTTGCCCCGAAAAAGCTGCAGAAAATGCACATACTGACAGAGCCCATAAAGACCACACCTGCCTTTCACATGGCCTTTCGAACTAGATGCAGTACAGGACGCAGAACGATACCCATGGGCTAGCTGCAGCTGTAGCCCAGTGCTTGTAGTATATTGCAGCTGACGGAAGGGAGGGAGGCCAGCTCCTTCATGCCGTGGTACCGGAAAAAAAAAATGAGCCACAGACGTCAAGCGCCTTGAGTATTTCTGTGCATCCACGAAGCCAATCTGGGACAGCAACGACAGAAAACTTCAGTAACACAGTGAACAAAAGAGTAGGCATGCAGGCGAGCTGTGAATTGTGAGCACAGCTAAAACCCAAGGCACAAGAAAGCAGAAAGGAAGAGGCCTTTCCACTTCCTTGCATGTCGGGTTTGAGTCTCGCACGGGGTAGTAAAAAGCAACAATACTGGTTCCCTAGTCTTTTTCTGCGTCAAGAAGCCTTGGAACAAAGAAATCCTACTGGTTATTCATCTTGTTTTCTCGGGCGGATTATAGTGCACGGTGCGGAAGCAAACTGCCTCAAAGGGGCTCAACTCACACTTCCAAGAAAATGATTGGCGAGCAACCTCTCCATTGTGTACTACGTGCACTGTACGTTTTAAGCAGGTCCGTTTTCTGCTAACACGACAGCGGTAGGAATGTTACTTGTGTCGAGCTGGAGAAGCCATAGCGGGGGCTACCCCAGCTACGCCCACGCTGGCTCTTATGGCGGTTATGTGCAACGCAGACAGCTTTTCCCATTTCAACCGAGTGCCTAGGCAGACACAGAAGCAGCCACATAAGACAATCGAGGGAAGACGCAGAGTTGTACAGGCTAAGAGGGAACGACATAGTGTAGCGAGCTTTTTAGTCCAGGCGATTCCTCAGAGAAATGCAGTCGGCGGAAATGTAGGTCAGTTGTTCTTGCCATTAACTTAGGTAACGAATGCAAGCATTATACTATTTTGCATCTTTTTCTACTGCAATGCTAGTCACCCGCAACGAAAAAACTTCACAAACTGAAAGAAAGTCTGGTTGCATTGTTAACACGGACACCAAGTCCATCAGGAAAAGCCATCTGTGCCATCCACCTGTTCATAAGCGAGCTGGAGTTCATCAAAGCACAACCGAGACTCTCTCGGGAGTATTTGGTTCCTTGTCACTAGTTATAGAATGAAAACACAGTGCAGTGTTGATTACTGTCAGCGCAGCCTTGCCACTAGCACTGCTGTCACTCGGGTGGCAGATATTTCGCTGGCACGACATGGCCTGCGAGCCACATATATCCCTAAAAGAAAGCTGCATAGAATGCCCACACCGTGGCTAGCGTCGCCGCCCAGAGAGCTTGCACAAACCCTCCACATGACACGCAGTACAGTTCAGAACAGAGCAGCACTGGCTAGCCAGTTGCTGCGAAGGCTTGCGGTGTCTTGCTGCTGCAAGTCGCCTCTTTCATGCCTTGTGGCACCCATCAGTTTCAAAACAAACGCTGATGAACCGCGACCAGCCATGACCTGTAGCACAAGGGGGAAAAACGTGTGAATGTGCAGTCTCCTATCTGTTTGCTTTTGTCTAACGTCTCCGAGTTTTCTTTGAGAAGAAAACAGCAATGACACTTCTTTCACAGTAATGTGCAAAAGAAACAAAAACGGCTCGGTTATTATACTGTCTCATAAGTTGTGTGCAGCGAACGCACGGGTGCGAGGGCGCAGCTCTGCAGAATGTTCTTTTTGCGCGGGTACTCGTGCAAAAAAGGCGCTTTTTATTGTCATGTACTCGGGCCTGCGCCTTTGCTGCACACAACTTATGATACAGAGTGTATAGCACGCCTCCGTGAGCACTCGCGTACGGCGAGAAATCCATGATATCCAGGGTACGATAGCAGGAAACCTCGCAAGGGTGCACGAAGCTGCAAGTGCGCCAGAATGTGCAACTGGAGGTGGTGATAGAATGACATAGTTTGAGAATATGGGGTTACTTGGGTCAAAATATAGAAGCGAACAACGTAACTTCCTTGCCGGCTGATGTTAGGAGCCATCGGAGCACGACCAACTATTTGTTGTGATCGGGGTATTACGATCGGACGCGGGTTGGTAAAGATTTGAAAAACCCGGAAGAATAAAACCTGTAGGGGCGAAGACAGACAGCGCAGTTCCTTGTTGACATGGGATGTAATATTAAACACATTATTCCGTCGGATCAAACGTTTTTATTTAATCAGGCTTATCTCGGAAGTCTGCCGGCAGGTCTGGGGTCGGAAGTATGCGGTTTTTAGAGCTCTTTTGGCGGGCTTTCAGCTTTCTGCGATGCGTGTTTTAATCGTGAGCACAGGCTCAAACAATAGGCAGCGGCGCCAAATGTATTTGAAACGAAGAAGCAGCTCGGACGCGTGGACCGAACACATCGAAATCACATCACAGGAAAACGTAAATCACTCACCTTTTGTTCGACGATGGTTCGCAAGACACGATTCAAATCGACGACACTCGATTCGGTCACGATATTCAGGTAAAGGACGCAACAACGTAGGCTTGCCGTTCCTAATAACTACATAAATACGACGATACGACACGATATCAAACAAAGGAGTCAGAAAAACGCAGTCTGTAGCGCAGAAAACGCGGTCACCCGGTTGCAAAAAGCAAGAAAAAAAAAATAATACGTCAACAAAGTAAAAATAACAAAAAGTTTCCTCGCTAAAAACCGTGACGTCACAAAAAACAAAACAAGCAAAACAAAATTTTTTTGTCACGTGACGTTATATTTGTGACGTCACTTCCGGTGACGTCGAGTCACGTGATCTGCCATTATTCCTCCTCCGAATCGCTCGTTTTCATTTCATTAGTTGCCTGACCGGCGGGCAGAGGGCGTTGGCACACTTGCCGCCATTAGGTTGCTTCAATTTGGTCGGTTTCGGTTTCAACGTGCACGCGATTGTAATGCTGTTTCATGCCCCTTTCGATTTTGCGATATAAATTTCTTTCTTGTAGCACACAGCGAATAAAATAATAGTATTGAGCCACTTGGCAAACCACGAAGTGGTTTCGAGCATAAATTGCGATATTTACGAACACTATATGCGTCTGATTCCGTCCATCGTTATTTCGGCCAGGTACGGCGGTGAAACAACTGGGCTGACGCACAGGGAGGAGTACCGTTGTCCACGGCCGTACCCGTGGACACTGATTTCCGGAATAAAAAAACGAAAATAAAGAGCAGGACAAGCTCCGCCTGCAGCGTGCGCTCGTTGCCTGCCGCCGTGCTTTGGAGCGGTACGGAAGTAGATAGCTCGCGCTCAAGTCAGATATTGAACTGATCATCTTATATTGCAACAGACTATATTGCATGAATGCTTAGTGAAACAGCAGGTCGACAACATGATTAAGAATCTGCTGAATTACCAAAAACAGATGAACTGACAAGTTTACTGTTCGATGTTTGGTTTCCGTACACGAACCTTTTCTAACTTCGAGACTGGAAACGTCTTTCATAATGACTAGAAAAGTTTCATATAATCACGCAGATAATATAAAAAAGTAATATTGTCCCTGCCTGTTTCATTTAAAGAAATTAAGCGCTCGAGAACTATGTTGATAGACCAGCCTAGGCTGACTAGAAAATTTCTTTAACTAAAGTACTCATTAGCAGCATTTCAAAATATTGGCCTTATGAAATGAACTTTTTGTTATATGGACACTTGCTTACGACGTTCTCAAGGTATGAGAATGGTGAGATAACTGAATGCCAAACTTCAAATAAAATGTTTCGATTGAAATTGAAGAGCACAAAGAAATGATCTCCGATAAGTTTGACTAAAGTCATACTCCAGGCGCCACCTAATGAACGAAAGCTGTTCACCGGTTTGAAACGACGCGCTTTGCACATTTTGACGTCGCCAGCTACTGAAAGTAAGTCCCTATTCGCCGTCGACAACCGGCTGCACACAGGTGATTTGCATGCAGAAGGATTCTTTTCGGCGTCACATTTTGTGAATCGTGGGAACTATCAAGCTGTCTGTGACAGTTTCTTAAGCGGGGAGTCCAAATATTTGTGTTGAAATAAATGAATTGAAACAGCGTGGTTATATAAAAAAAAAATGATTTAAGCAACTGAAAGATTATGGACATGGGACCAAGCACGATATACAATTCCATAAAATTCATAAATAAACCGATAAAGCGAATGCTTATATCAGACACGCGATTAAGAACGTAAAACAGATATAGCTGTGATATTGCGAACAAACAAGTTGCCTGAATGTTAAGGTACAATTATTTATAGCAGAAAGAAATAATTCAAACTAAACGTTTGTTCCCGCGTCTTATCCACAAGTTCCCTAGTGTAATCAAAAGAAACTGTTTTCGATCTGTTGGAACTACAAAACACCATGCTTTCAGGAAAAAACACGTGGCTAATTACGCTGAGTCTTTTTGTTTCCTCCCTTGGCACCAATGCGCACTCATACATATATATATATAATAACAATGGGCTTCCTATTGATAATGTTCCGCCCTTATTAGTAACCATACCTCAGTTCTCATAAGTTATTGGTATTTGAACCCTCGAGGATCTTTTCGAGTCATATATGCACTCAATGTGCGCAAGTGCTAACGCTGATTTCTGTTCCTATAAAGCCTTTTCACAAGTCTCCCGGGCACACCGACGGTAAAAAATATTCAAAACGTGTTACAAAATTAACTACAGAAGTTGCGCGCACAATGATGTAATGCAATTGCATGGTAAGTATAAGTATCGAAAACTTGGCCCGCTTTGTGCACAAACTTAGTAAACATCTCACTTGACTCCATATATCATCGTCCCAGCAGTTCTACGTTTACAGCGACGAGCGAAACAAATTTTCCACTGAGAGCAATTATGGTGGCGGCCGTCTTGATTTTTGGAAAATTGCTCAAACTCCTTTTTCGACCGCAACTAAAGAAATTACCCCTAATAACGACTCAAACTCAATATATAAGAAGCGGAGTACAGGTAAATGCCCTTCTTAAATCTGCCCCAGCACTCATGCAACGTCAACCTGAACTTATCGGCTCAAAAAGCAAAAGTTCGGTCCGTGCGCGCTTCCGCCGCTACAGCTTCGCACGCGAAAAGGCTGCTGAGCGCGCCTCACTGCCGAACGCCAGCTCCTCCGCTAGCGGCGGTATACGCGCGTTTTTCAAAGCGCCTCCTATAGTTCCCGCACGGTGCGTATACACCAACTCATCTCTGTGACGTCACGGCGCGGTGGTGGCGCGTCGGTCGCACTTCCGGTCTGGGGCTGTGGGCAGAAGTCCCCATGCCAGACGTGTATTCCTGCGTTGTTTTGAAAGGAACCAGACAAAAACCTGCCTTCTCCTCAAAACGCCGCGACTGGGGCCGTACCAAAAGTGTCGAGAAAGGTTTGAAGGTCAGTTTTCAGGTGCTCGATTCGTCCGAGAATCTGGATATGTGCAGTAAAAAGGAAAAAGCAGACGCCTTCGGACAACGATTGCTTGGGCGGGAAGCACTTTGGGTTGAATTCACGGATACTTGTGGTCATCAGATTTATTTGTTTTGTTGCAACATGAACGCCAGAGAACCATCAAGTTGTGCGGACCACCTGCGGCCGCCTGATCGTTCGAGCTGTCGTCTGCTCTCTCAAACGTTTCGGCTTGTCGTCTGCTCTCTTAGACGACGCCGGCCCGTATATGTTGGCCCGGTACTTGCGATAAGAAGTAAGTGCAGGCCTCAAAAGACTTGCGTTTGAAGGTTGGTAAGCAGGCTCGATGTAAACAGTAAATAAAAGATGTTGATCATTGTTACCAGTGACAGTCACTGACTTGCTATGCCTAATTGACTTGGTCCGATTCTGCTTGCTATTTTCAGTATTGACGTCGATCATCTCAGCTACGGTTCACGCTTTTGCAGCCCGAGCGGCGTCGCGACTGAAAATTGCGAGCGAAATCTCATCATGCGAATCAGGTTTTAGCGTTCATACTGCGGCGTCCACGCGGAATGAATCGCCACATGTCACATTATTCGCGCGAAGTTTCGCGGTGTAACGAGCCTCGGTAATTTCGCTGATGCCGCTCAAGTAGTCGGACATCGCCAGGAAGACGTAAAATCAACAATTCGAACGCGAAAAAGAGCAGGGGGGACTCACACCGACGCCGATAACAACGCGTTTCAATGGTTTGTCTATGGGCGACGGCGAGCTTTTTGCCCACACCCCCCTCGCGCATGCGCGGCGCCGGTGGCGTCCGCTAGGGGCGCTCCGGTTTGTTTGTAAACATGAGTTGGTGTATAGGGAACCCCATGGTTCCCACACCACCCAGTAGTGATACACGAGCGCACAATGGTACGATGCTCAAGAAAAGCTTGTTTCCGCATGTATAATGCACTGCCGTTCAGTGCGCCCGTTGAGCGACTCTTTAGCAAGGGCCGGGATGTATTCAGCATAGAAACAAATAAAGTTAATTTATCTCCGAAAGTCAGTTTTATGGTGCGTTAAAACAGGAACTGAATTATTTATTATTTAGTTCGTATTGCGTCGAAGCAGCAAATGGTTTGATTCTTGAAGTCGTGCGACTGTAATGATATATATCTCAAAAAGTTAAAAAGAAAGTTTTCTGAGATTTATAAATCCTAGACATTGTGTCTTGTCATCAATGTCTTGATAATTTAATTTTAAAAAAAAACGAAAATATCTTCAAAGTGACTAAGTTACTATGACGAAATATCTAACTTTTTAAGTAACGGTATCTGAAACTTACGCCGTTGACCACGATTGCTTTGGTGTTAAGCACTTTGTATTGAATTCATGGATACTTTGGGGTGATCAGATTTACTTGTTCTGTTCCAACATGAATGCGGGAAAACAGTCAACTTGTACGGGCCACCTGCGGACTACATTCAGTGCGTCTTCAAGTTCAAACGACCGCCTGATCGCTCGAAATGTATTCTGCTCTTTAAACGTTTCTGCTTCGTCTGCTTCTTCGGACGATGAGAAGTAAATTCAGGCCTCGAACAATTTTTAGGTTTGAAGATTGGTTGGGGTAAGCAGGCTTGGTGTAAGCAGTAGATACAAGGAGGTGTTGATCATTGTTACCAGTGCCCATCACCGACTTGTTATGCCTGATTCACTTGGTCCGATTCTGCTGGCGATTTTCAGTATCGACGTTGATCATCCCAGCACGGTTCAGCACCGGTTCACGCTTTTGCATCCCGAGCGACGTCGCGACTTAAAATAACGAGCGAAATCTCATCGTGTGAATCCGGTTTTAGCGTCGATTCTGCGGCGTCCACGCTGAATGAATCACCGCATGTCACATTATTCACGCTAAGTTTTGCGGTGTAAGGAGCCTCGGTAAGTTCGCTGAGGCCGCTCAAGTAGTCAGACATTGCCAGGGAGACGATGAATCAACAGTTCCAACGTGAAAAAGAGCACGGGGCTCACACCGACGCCGACAACATCGCATTCCAGTGATTTGTTTATGGGTGACGGCGAGCTTCTTTCCCACACTCCATCGCGCATGCGCAGCGCCGGTGGCGTCCGCTAGGGGCGCTTCGGTTTGTTTGTAAAAATGAGTTGGTCTATAAATTACTCTTTAAAAGTAAGTTACCCAAGATTGTGGAGATGTTGGTGTGCGTCAGGAAAACGAGCATGCAGAT